CCATGCCCTGCCTCCTAACAGATTAATATTGGGGTCTGATTAGGTCAGGGTTGGTAACCAGGCCCGACCCTGCTTAGCTTCCGAGATCAGCCGGGATTGCGTTCGTTCAGGGTAGCATGGCTGTAGACCCAAGACTTCTTTATACAGCTTCCTCTCATAAAGTAAAGGTCACAACCTCATGATTCTGCAGAAAAAGAAGAAATGCAGTGTTCAGTCCCTGGTGCTGATTTGTCCTCAGCCTTATGCTTTAAGAACCCATGGTCTCACAAGGGAACTTTCAATACGGGGATCTTTAAGGACATTCTGTTCTTTAGTGTTGGCTTTGTACACCTCAGTCTTCTGTTCTATATACCTCAAATGGCACAAGATTCCCATGTGTTGGTTATGTAGATGGAAATACTCTTAAAGGCATATTATACCTAAATAGAATTTCCACATATTAATTAGAATAGTTTCCAAGTAAAGCAATAAAAATCACAAGGAATAGAAAATAAGACTCTTAAAAGAAGATAAAATTGTTTGTTTATTCCAAAAGAGGCAGCTGAAGAATGATTTAACAAATGTCTAGACATTTATGGAATTATATCCTTATATTTCTTCATTCATTGTAAGATGATCTAAATGATCATAGAAATTATTACAGAAGAATAAATTGTTTTGGAGCATAGAAAAATGTGTTCCACTGGACATAGGGAGGAGATTTTGACTGCAAGAAGTTCATAGAATTCAGAACACAGGAGAATTATTAGCATCCAAGAAGGGTCTATGTTTCCTCTGAGACTTTTGGCAAAAGGAAAAGATGATGGATATAGTGAAATATTGAGGTGGAAAGTAGCCAGAGTTTCCATGACAGGTGTCTCTTGATCTATCTCAAAAAGAATATTCTCAAGTAGAGCCCGTATTTAAAATTATTTTCCAAGGGCAAGTGAATGCTTCCATAGAGCTACTATTTCATTCTGTTGTGTATCATCCATTTTACGAAATCATTGAGCCCCTTGTAAGAGTGATAGAGCTGGCATGTCGCTTTCGGTCAATAAGGATCTTAACCATACTGGCACTACATAAGCGATTCCCCTGCAGGAGGGTACATAGAGGTCATCAACTTTCAATGAATGCAGTGAAGAGGAACTGAGAAATTTGAGCAGGGAAAGAACTGAAATAGCCCATGTAGGAAGTATATCAGAAAGTTTATATGCACTAAAAATGTCTTATTGATTTTTAGAAATCAGAAGATAAAGGACATTGACACTGAATTTTTTTAATCTAGAGGTTTCAAACAATCAGAATGTGTTTTTTAAAGAAAGAGTGGAATTATGAAAGTACGGTAGAGACTCTCTTAACAGACCTCCACTTAAACAAATCTCCAGACTAAGCGGATCCTCTCCATTTTCACTGTAACGTTCTGGCAGATGCATATAGCATACTGTGTGCAAAATACCCATGGCATGTTCGCTACTTTCTAACTCTCTTCTACTCCCATTGGTTGAATTGTTTGTACTGACTATTTGTTATTGTAATTATACATTTAAAAATTGTGTATTAAAATGGACTTTTTAAGTGTATAGTTGTATATATGACATTTTGTATAGATTAGTATAACCAACACCACGATCAGGATACAGAAAAGTTTCATCACCCCCTAAAAGTCCCTCTTGCTCTTCTTTTATAGTCACACTCTCTCCCCATCCCTACTCTGGCAATCACTGATCTGTTCTTCAGGCTTATAGTTTTGTTCTTTTGAGAATGATATAAATGAATTTGCATCATCCATAAGCTTTTGAAATTGGCTACTTTCATCCGGTATAATGCCTTTGAGATTCATCCAAATTGTCCTGTGTTTCACTAGTTTATTTTTTTATATTGCTGTGTAGTATTTTATTGTGTGGATGTACCACTGCTCGGTTAGCCATTCACCCATTGAAGGACATTTGGGTTGTGTCCAGTGTGTGGCTATTATGAATAGAGCTACTAAAAACATTCATGTAAAGATTTTTCTCTGAACATAAGCATTCATTTTTCTAGGGTTTATACAGCAGAAGTGGATTATTGTGTCATAAGATAAGGGTATTTTAACTTTATAAGTAACTATCAAATTGTTTTCCAGAATAGTTGTTTCACTTTTTTATTCCCATCAGCAATGTAGGAGAATTCTAATTACACTGTATTCTTATCAGCACTTGGTACTGTCGGTATTTTTTAAAATCATTTTAATATGTTGAGGTGAATTAAAATTCATCATGGTTTTAATTTGTGTTTCAATACAATGGCTAAAGATAACGAATATCTTTTTATGTGCTCATTTTTTATCTATTTTTTTTTTTTTTTTTTGGTTAAGTGTCAACCATTTTTCAAACATATTTTTAGCACTACACTCTTACTTCTTTCCTTCTGGGACTCCAGTGTATCAAAGGTTAAACCTTTTGTTATAATCTCACAGGTTCCAAAGCTCAGTTCTTTTTTTATTTTTTTCATTTTTTTTTTTCTCTCTGTTGTCCAACCTCAATAATTTTGATTGACCTATCTTTGAGTCCATTGATTCTTGCTTTATTATCTCCATTTTGCTACTGGGCCCAGAAATGAGTTTTGTTTATTTCAGTTATTGTACTTTTTAGTTCTAAAATTTCCAATTGGTTCTTCTTTATACCTTCTCTTTTATTACAGAGGCTTTCTAATTTTCTATTTTATTCAGGTGTTTGTGAGTGCTTGTTGGAGCATTTTGTAAGAGCTGCTTTAAAATCTACCCTAGGTAATTCTAATATCTGTGTTATTTCAGCTTTGACATCTGTTAATTATCTTTTCCTATTCAAATTGAGATTTTTCCTGGTTCTTTGATACCAAATGATTTTGAATTATATCCTGGACCTTTTGAATATTATGTTATGAGACTCGGATCTTATTTAAATCCTATGGAAAATGTTGCTGCTTGTGTTTTAGCAGGTGATTAGTCTGCTTAGGTTCAGGTCATAATTTCCAAGCCACCATCAGTGGATGGTGGTTCTAACATCAGTTCAGTATTTATGCCTTTGCAGTGTTGTTAGGATCTGCCCCAAGTGTGCACCATCCAGTGGCCAATCTGAGACATGGGCAGGTAGGTAGTCAGTCTATCTGGTGAGTTTAAATGCTGACTTGAGTCAGATCCATGTATGGGCAGCTATGAGGTGAGCTCAGGATTCATAAATAACTTTATGGGGGTCACTTTCCTGAGTTCTTCTCTTTTCTAGATCTCTTTGTACTTTTTAGTACTTTTTAAACTCCTCTTTTTTGGTTCTCTGGCCTGAAAGGTGGGGCTTTATTTATACCATTCTGCCGTAAACTTTTGCAGCTGTGCCGACCTGTAGGGCTAAGCCTTAAAAGGGCCAAGGTTGGGGGTAGGGAGAGTGGGGAACTCAATGCTCCTTCAAACAGTGATACTTCACATTCTGGCTTTTTCCTTTAGTTGGTCTGCTATAATTTACTTTTTAGACAAATAGCTGTTCCATGCGTTCTGTTCAAATTTTACAGCTGCAGTCAATAGGAGAGACAAGGAGAAGTGTTTTTATTCTTATCTGGAACCTGACCTCTATAGATTTTAATTCAACATTAGGTAAACCAATATAATATGAGTGCGGAAACAAAGTGGTTAAAATTTTTTGTAGCAATGGAATGTTTTGGAGGAACTCCATAGAAGTGAGTTGGTAAAAAAAAATATTAAATCTGTAAACAACAGTAAAAGATTAGGGAAAAGTCCTTGAAATCTAGATGGGTTCTATACCTGTTTCACAACTGTATATAAGCACTTATCTAGATGGGTTCTATACCTGTTTCACAACTGTATATAAGCACAACTGTATATAAGCACTTTACACAAATCACAGATGATGCATCAGGATGTTTGTGCTAGAAGGAAGACTCAGAACCTTAATTAGCAGATCTATTTTCAAGTAAGAGGTCTTGGCTCTCTATTAAAAGTCTAGCAAATGAATTATGTTTTATATGTTTGAAGATAAAATAAGATGTGTATTTTTAAAATGATTCTATACAAACTGATTATTTTTTTTGGTTCTCTTCTAAGTGGATTAGGATTTTTATGTAATGGTTAGGAAAGTGATCAAAATGTGTTGGTTTGAAAAAGAGAGAAGTAGAAGCAGGGAAACCAGTAAGGAGTTGACTATGATCGTCAAAATGAGAGCCTGCCAAGGAAATGGAAAAGACAGATAAAAGAGGCATGAAAAAGGAAGAACCAGCTAGACTTGTGAAAAAAAAAAAAAGATGTGATGGAGAAATTGTCAAGATTACTATGAGGCCTGGGGCCTGAATGATTGAACAGTGCCAGTAACAAAAATAGAAAAGTCAGACAAGGCATTTGTAGAGTCAAAAAGTACTTATAGAAGGTCAAGAATGAAATAGTAAAGCTTACACCTGTTGAGTTTGATGGGATGATTATATAGCCACATGATAATATCAAGTATGGAAGAGTGATTCTATTTCCAATCTCGCAATACTATTGTAGAGTCTGACATCTACTAAACCAAAGGGATATAGAAAGTAGCCTTTACACTGTAGCTTCAGGCTGGAAAGGCAACTGATACGTTTTAGCATAATAAAGAACCACAGAAATGCTAGAAAGGGGAGATGTTTGAGTACTTTTTGGATGTTCTGTCCTGGGCCAGATCACCTCAAGGGCTCTTTTTTTTTTCAGCTCTTGAGCAGAAACAGCCCTTATTCTCAAACACATATACTCAACCCAACCAATTGCAGTTGCAGACATGTCTAAGAATGATTGACAACTCATGCAGAGAAGAAAGGGGCGGTAAGACTTTGGAGATGGAATCTGTGGCAGGGAAACACTCAGCACCCATTCTAACCCCCTTCTACCTAGTCTTTTCTTTACCAAAAATCTTGCCTTCTCAGATTCCCTTGTAGTTAAGGTTGACCATGTGACTTAGATTGGCCAATGAGATGTAAATAAATAGCAATCATCAGCTTCCTGCTTCTTCCTGCAGCTTCCTGCTGTAGTACCTGGAATGCATATAATGCTTGGTACTGCAGCAGTCAGTGCTAACGCATGGAGAAGCAGAAGAATAAAAGATGCCTACTTCATTACAGCAAGCCTCAAATTGCTTACCCCTTGGATTCTAATTGCTTTAGGTAAGTAACTTAACATATGGATAAACCACTCTAGTTGGGTTTTTGTTTAATACTTTTGAGCACATCCCTTAACTATATAGGAGCTCAAAGATTAAAAAGAACTCCAAGACTATTTGTGAGAAGGAAAAAATGCACATGAAAATATGAAGAACTGAAATTTAAAGGTGCTGTCTCTTGAGACGGAGTATACCACTCCGAGATTCTAGAACTCAAACCTCACATTTGTAGACAGAACAGGGGAGAATGATTAGAACAATAAGCTAAAGAAGTAAAACTCAAATCTCCAGGGTTAGAATAGAAGACCTGAACCTGAAGTGCTAACTGGCCATTCTCTGGGATTCTATGAGGAACGCCTAACCAGCTAACAGTTACGCTGATTCATGGCAAACTGACTTTAAGGAGACTTCCTTCCACAATAAAGTGATATGGAAGAGGGGAAAATGTCTCCTCTTTCCCCCGTTAGTGCTTCTGGCTGGTCTAATAATCAAATTGGCATGAGACAAATTAACCTGAGAAAATAACCAAATTTAATTATGTATGTACATATGGGAGTTCCATGAGAATGTGGGGCCCTGAAGTAAAATTGAGCAGTTCAGGTTTATAAGCCATCTTGAGCTAAGAAGAAAGTGGGGGAGGGGAAGTTTGTAGTTTGGGACTTCAAAGGGGTGAAAGGTCATTAGCATGGGGATGGAAAAGCAAATGTTTGGTAAACAAATGTTTGCTGGGCCATCTTTAACAATGGGACATAGAGGGGACTTTGGTCAAAAGGGCCTTGCTAGGTTCCTCCCTATCTATCACACTAGTTCATATTAAAGTATAGTTACCTATAACCATAGCTTCCTTCCTGGAGCATGTCTTTTATCTGAATTCTTTTAGGTAATTAGGGGAAAGTTCAAAAGTTTTTTTCTGAATCTTTTGTTTCTTAAAAATAAACAGCTTAAAATAATCAATTTCCCAAGAAAGACATATTTAAGGGTGGCAAACTCTGCTCCCCCTCAGTGGCATGGTGCTTAGGTTATACCAATGTATAGTAAGAAATGACAAGAATAGAGTTGGAAAGAGAGGGTATTTATTTGGAATTATCATAGTGATATTTCTAGTTAATTATTCGATATCTAGCAAATGAATATCACATCATAGGCACTAAGTACTTATATGACAGTTAATAAGATATGAAATATTGAAAGGCAAATTTACTGTCTCTTTCAAATCGAATAATCTGTTATTCCTTGCATGCTCTCGCCTACCTCAGAGTCATAACACATGCCATTCTTCTGCCCCAGAACTCTCATACTTCTATCCTAACCATGTCCCTCCCTCACTTTAAAACTCACTCAGCTCAAAAAGATTTTTCTCTCGGTCACTCCAACCTGTGTCAGTTGCTCTAATAACCACACACAGCCATGTTGTAATTTTATGTAATGCCACTACTAAGCTTTGCTGTGAATTTTAAAAAATTAGATAAAATAAAAGTATTTCTCTCTCTTTCTCCTATAAAATTGAAAGCTATCCAGAAGGGATATATATTTTTTATTTCGATTCTATTTCCTCATACTCCTACCTTTGAGACGTGTAGTTATTTTTCCACTCAGTAAATATATTAGAGTGACTCATGCTGAGACACAGTTCATGCATTTTCGTTTAACAAGAAATAGAAATGACCAGCCAGATCTAATTCTGTAGTCACTAAATAAAGAACAGGGAATGATTATCTGAGCAGTGTATTTCCAAATAAAAACATAACATTTAACATTGGACTTGGAATCTTACTGCAGATTCGGACTGTAACTCTGACTTTCAGAAGCCCAAAGAAAGATATTTAACATCTGGGTCTGGGTTTTTGTTTTATTTTATAAGAAACAAGCTGTTCCATGAGTTACTTAATGTATATAAAGCCATCTCTAATGACCCTGGGTAAGATTGTTGGGGTGTGGGAAATAAAAAACTTCTGAAAGGGAGAAATCTCATTAGGAGTAAATATGTAAAGTGAACCTTGTGGCTATAAGGTCTTAAAATATTACAGAGAGTAAAAAACTCAGCTCTCTCATGTGATGGATATGGGAACTTAAAACTAAAAAAGTTTTGCTTCTCTTTTCAAGGTGAGGTTATTTTACATTCAGTTCTCAAAACGAGTTTCTAAGTTGTGCAGGTACCCTCTCTCTAGTAATGTCCTTGCTCACATCCTGGAGAAAGTGCTATTGGTGAAACTGAGTTACATGTATTGAAGTCTTTCAACAAGGAGAACTTTGTACAGAACATACGATGGATGGACAGATTTTCATCAGACTCAAACCTGCCTTGTAGTAAATGCCAGAGTAGTTTAACAGCAAAGACAATAAGAAGGATTTTCACCAGGCTGCTACTGTGCAGACTTAAAAAGAAAACCATGCGCAAAGCTAATCAGACCTGCTATCGAATGCAAAGAAATGCTATCTTATTGACAAAGGATGTTCAGTTATCAGGAAACAAACAAACAAACAAACAAACAAACAAAAAACCCAGCCATGGAGAATAGTAAATGCCTCTTGGAGTGTTTGGTTTTATTTTACTTTGGGTAATAAGTTACCTCGATTGGTATATGCTAAGAAGCAAATTAAAAGAAGAAAATATACTCCAGTCCTGGTTCTGGTATTGATTATCTGTATAATTTCATTGATCTGTTAACATATTCATGCGCTTTTTTTTCCCTTTAAATACATCTTAGGACTGAGATAGTAATGCCAAACTAAGAGTAATAACCAGTGAAAGTATTTAAGTGTATATACTTATTTTTAAATTGTCAGGTAATGAACTCAATGGAGGAAGCAATTTTAACATAATGATATATAATGTAAATACTTTGTTTTTAATACAATTTTTACTCTTGATGTTATTTTACTCACCCATATTAACATTACAATGCATTTTATTCCTTGAGCACAAGTTAAATTATGCCACAGAGAGACAGTCCAGAAATGAAATGGTAGAGGGATGATATCATAAGGGCAAAATGGCTATGGAAAGTTCAGAGTAGATTTATGCATATAAATAATGGAATATTAGATATCAGTGCCAGCTGCCGGCATTACAATTCCCTACTAAACATATCTTACAATTTGCAGTACAGCTTGACAGGTTGAAAAAAACTCTTAAGTTAGAACTTAGCTACATCTTTCTTACGACAGAATGGCTGGACTACAGAAGCACGTGCCTCTCTTTAAAGCTTCCTGGTGGTTCACAGTTCTTAGCAAATATGGTTGATTCTTCCCCACTGAGAAATGTTTGTTTCCAGGAGGGCAAGCCCAAGGGCCAATGCAATGAAATGCCTGCTTTGTTCAAGATAATTTCCAGAGGTTGGATAGATTGAGTGGGTGTGAACGTATTTATACTGGATTCCATTCCAGCAAGATGACTCAGAATTCAGAAGGTTGGTGCTTCAGCCACCCACAGCTCTTTTCCAGGCAATTCTAAATATTTTAATCCTGATGCTCTGATTAACTGAGACTCTGATGCAGTACCTGAAAGCCATACTGCTTCCTAACTGCTCACCAGCTTTGGAGCTGGTGGAGGCTAAGGGTGGGAGAAGAAGGGGTCCAGAATCTCACCTGCTTGCTCTTTAACAGGACGGAGAATAACAGGCAAAACGCGAAGGAAAAAGATGAAGGCTGGAGGCAGAGGATGCTGTTTATCTTTCTCAGCATGTTGATAAAATATTTGCCAAGATCAAAAGTAGGAGATATTGAACCTGAGCTCTACTAGAGGAAGCTTTGAGCCAAATACAGCTAACGACATATAAAGTTTCGGCAATATTGCTAAGCATGTAATCAGTTTTGTATCTAATAAATGTGTTGGTTTATAGTTGCCTTTTATTTTGTTCTCCTCCTGCCTTTCATCAATTTGTTATTAATTTGGGGCATAGTATCTCTAAGGGAAGTTTATTGTTTAAAAATGCGATACCTAATTGTACAATCGTTTGGGCTATTTCTGGAGAAAAATGAAGAAAACCAAAGTTATCCAGTTCTAAAAAATCAGAAGAAATTAAGTTTGCTTTTTAATTGCCTCCTTCCTTTTTTCCTCTTGTTGTGTTTCTGGGAAGGGAGAGTCCACGTAATCTAATCGTAAATTATTGGGATCTGATATTCTAGTTAATGATTATCTACTGGGGAGGAGGGTTTGCCAGGCTGATTCAGACTCAGAGAATTTCTGGACAAGGAGTAATAACCACAGCCAAGGAGCCTGACAATTGGGGAAATTTCCTCTTCTTTAACTGGATGCAAAGCCTAATAATATTTAATGTAGGAAGGACATTTACAAAGTGGATTGCCCCTGTGTACCTGTCGCATTGTTTATTTCCTTTGTAGGAAACATTGTTTTTAAACTTTAGAATGTAGATAAAAACTTTAGAATGCAGTTTAACCTGGAGACAACTCTGGTTAAACTAGAAACCTGTGGTTCTGAAATGTTTATTTCTGACCTTCTACCTTTTTTTTTCCTCCCTCTTAGTGACTCATTGTAATACTAACTTTTCATAAGCTACTTTCGGGCTTAAGAAATACATTTTAGCATCTCCTATAAAAGTTGAAAGGCAGAGTTTTCTAAGCTCTTTTTGTTTCTTCTTTAAGATTTTAAAAATCAGACTAGTTTGCTAAAGCTCCTTCCCCAAAGTTCTAAAAAAATTAAATGAGTTTTATAGGTTTTTCACAAAACTTAGGAATGATTTGAAGTTTAAAAACAATGGCTTGAGATTTGTTGCTAACTAGACCTCAGAGTAAGACTGGCCTACGTCATTAAAAAAAATTTTTTTTCCAATTTTGCTTATATTTTTTTGTAATATACATACATATGTGTGTGTGTGTGTGTGTGTGTGTAATATACATACATATATATATACATATGTGTAGTAAAGACATTTAGGTATTTGAAAAAGGTTTTGTTGGTAGCCAGAAATAGTTGTATTTGGGATGAAATTGGGTGCATTTTTGTGTGTAATGGGATGAAACAGATGTCGTCTATGGATGTTTATGTTTTAATTGATCTCAAGCCATTGTTAAGTCTGTTTTAAGTCTGTTTTCAACTGAGAATGAATGCCATCTTATTTGTGGCTTCTTCCTATCCTTTGTGAAGGATATTCTTATCTTTTAAATATTACAGTCACTTTACCCCTTTAAAGTCAGGGAAAAGATAATGAAGTGAAAAACACTCATCTGTGTACTAGTCAGATCTTATTCAGATTCCACAGAGTTCAGAATTATCATTCTATCCATGTCATTGAATTAGCTATCTCATAATGGTGTGGGTAAGTAATTGACCAGAAATCTGCATTGTAAATAAGAATTTAGGAGGACTATTAAAAGCAATTCTTTGTTTTTTTTTAGCAAAACTGTCTATATTAGGTGATAATAATTGAGACTTTATTTATTTTAAAAATTATTTATTTACCACATTATTTACAAAATAAAAAATTAAGTTGGACCCTTACCTTATTACCACATTAAAAGTTAACTAAAAAGGATCAAAAACCTAAACATAAGACCTAAAACCATAACACTCTTAGAAGAAAACAGGGGGAGGCTTTATGGCATTGGATTTGACCATGATTTCTTGTATATGACACCAAAAGCACAAGCAACAAAAGAAAAATAGATAAGTTGGACTTTGTAACAATTAAAAAACTTTCATGGATAAGAGAGAAGAGGCAACTGAAAAATGCAAAGAAAAGTGCTTGCAGAAATGACCGATTCAGTCTGTTAAAGCCCATTGCTAACTGCCCTCTCTCTCTCCCTTTCAAGACTCTCCAGCTCTCATCTGTTGATTCATTGTTTGCCAACCAACTAATGTCCTTTATTATCTCTGTAGCTGTGTAGGAATAACAAGACTGTATAAAACTGCTTGTTATGTTACAATTGGGGCTCAGCCTTTGGATAGGAATCCGCTGAGCAGGTGCTGGCTTTAATAAGTGTTGTTTCCTACTTATAGCCTCAGCGTCCTGTCTCTCTGTTCAAGAATCCTATAACAGTGCTGATAATGCCAAGGTCGCAAGACAAACGACCTGTAAGACCAGTGGTCTGAAAATTCCTCTCCCCTTACAGCTCCCCCACCGGAAGCTCCCCCTCCCATCCTGAGTCATGAGGCACACGTGAAACCTCAGACAAAGGAATCACGTGCCCCTTTGCATGGACACTGCAAGAGTATATGAGCTGTAAGAAATCTAACCAAGGGGAGCTCTCCACCGGCATTAAATTCTCCTTCCTCTAACAAAGTTGTCTGAGCATCCAATCTTCTCCATCGGGTGTTGCTTCCTGCAACATGGATTAAAAGGCATTATCAAGAAAGTGAAAAGGTGACTGACAGAATGGTAGAGAATATTTACAAATCATATATCTGATAAGGGATTAATATCCAGAATATATAAAGAACTCACTCCTACAACAACAAAAAATTCTTGATTAAAAAATGGAAAGGACTTTTCTCCAAAGATATTCAAATGGCCAATCAGTACATTAAAAAAATGCTCAAAATCACCAATCATTAGGGAAATGCAAAACAAAACTCAATGAGATATCACTTCACACCCATTAGTTTGGATATATAAATATGTATAAATATATATCAACACAAAAATAACAAATGTTGACAAGGAGGTAGAAAAATTGGAGCCCTGTGCACAGCTGGTGGGAATGTAAAATGGTGCAGTCACTGTGGAAAACAGTGGTTCCTCAAAAGAATTAAACATAGAATTATCATGTGATTCAGCAATTCCACTTCTGGGTATTTACGGTTCCAGTTTTGGACATTTAGATACAAGAGTTGATGATAACAAGGAGCATTTGAGACCTGTTCCTTGGCACTTGTTAGTTTGGCTCAAATAAACTCTTATAAAAATTCTATAAGAAAAAAAAAATTGATAGCAGAGACTTAAACAGATACTTGTACACCAGTGTTTATAGTAGCATTATTCACAATAGCCAAAAGTTGGAAATGAATGTCCATCAGTGGATGAATGGATAAACAAAGTATGGTATATACATGAAATATTTTCAGCTTTAAAAAGACATGAAATTCTGATACATGCTACCACATTGTTGAACCTTGAAGACATTATAAGTGAAATAAACCAGATATGAAAGGGCACATATCGTAATTTCCATTTGTATGAGATACCTAGAACAGTCAAATTTATAGCGAACAAGGTAGAATCGTGGTTCCAGGGGCTGGGAAGTGGAGAGGTACAGATGATGGGGAGTTATTGTCTAATGGGTCCTGAGTTTTAGTCTGGGATGATGAAAAAGTTCTGGAGATGAATTATAGTGATGATTGCACAACGACGTAATGCCAATGACGTAAAGCATAAACTGTACGCTTCAAAGTGGTTGACATGATAAATTTTGTTACGTGTATTTTCTCACAATAAAAAAATCCATTTTTTTTTTTTATTCTTAATTTGGTCTTCCCTAAAAGGTGACCCATGAGAAAAGATTTAAAAGTAAGTGGTTTATTTGTGATCCTAAGAAATATTGTTGAGCAGAGAAGAGAGGCAAGAAAGAGAAGGCAGTCCAAATGGTCTGTGTTATCAAGCGAGTTACCGCTTTGAAATACTGAGACTTCATCTGGCTGGGTACTCTGGGGTCCAGTATAATATCCACCTCAGAACTGACTCCCTCATGGGAATTTCCATCAGTCATTTGTTTTTTTTTTCATCACACAACACAGAAAACTTTTTCGTCCACACTGCTGCGGAGAAAGGTAGGCTCACTTCAGTATGCTGTCATCTCGGGCTTCTGCCAATTCCCTCTCAATCCATTTCAGTTCATCCTGCTCCTTCTTCTCCTCGATGGCTATCCTCCTCTCCTCTTCTGTTGGACGTTTCAGGCAGCTGTAGCTCTTGGCTCCCAAGGACACGCCCAGGAACAGGGAGGAATAGCGGCGGAGCTTGATGAGCAGAGAGACCTGCACTAGCGGCACCATCTTGTCCGTGACCTTCGCACTGGAAGAACAATTAGGGCAGAATAGGATGCTACAAGGCCTCAGAAAGTCGTGGAGTCGCCTCATCAGTCATTTTTTTAAGGACTGCTCCTCAGATGTCTAAGTCCCTTGAACCAGGTGCAGCAGAGTAAATTCCAGTGTCTGGTGAAAGTTCTTGGGCAAAGGGACCCCAGTGCTGGCAGCTGGTAAAGGTTGAGGCACTGATAGCATCTTCCTCAAAATATTTAATTTAGACTTTTTTGGTTTTTCTAATTCAAACCAGATGACACAAATTAATTTAAATTGGAAGAGATGTCGATTAGGCAGATACTGAATAATATACTATAGGACTTACTGGGTGTGAAGCTTGTATTAGGCACCACATCACCCCCTTCCTGTGACCGTCTATCTTTGACAGACAATGCTAGTCTGTAGCATCCTTAGCATCAGTCCAAGTCTTCACTTCTCAATTTGCTTCTCATCTCCTGCTCTAGTAAGAAAAACCACACAGGAGCTTTTCTTTCTGAAGAAAAACTTGGCTGAAAAATCTTAGTTATCTTCTGAATGTTATGGAATCTCATTTAGTTATTTTGTATTCCATATATACATACACACAACGTTTCCTGTAACTATTAAATAGAAGAAGGAAATGGGGAGGAAAGGGAGGCGAAGATGGTGGAAAAGTCACTTGGAGGATAGGAACTGGGCAGGACTCTCAAGAACAAAGCTGTGGCTGTAGAGTAGTGAGAATGATCAAGGCTTAATTTCACTTGTATTTTGATGAATACCAGGGACAACTCTCATTGTGAGACTATTTATGGTATAATTGTTTGAAACTTTACAACTTTCTCTTTGCTTGGTGCTTTCACCCTTTTCCTGTTTCCTGTTATATTCAAAAGTAAAACCAAACCTATCCAAACAAAAAGTCCTTGAAAAACCTTAAAAAGGTTATGTGGTTTCAAGGCAGACATGATGTCACATAAATTTTTTTCGATGTGTGGGACACTAAGAGGACTAAAATCCTCATGGAAACACCGTTGAAAATGGAAGCTGATGATCCCACCCTGATGAAATGGAAATTAAAAAGGAGTCCATCACACCTTTTATCCTTGACACCCACTATAAGTTGCCACTCTGGCTTAAAGCTGAAGAAATCCCCACTCTCTCAGTGAGTGAGAAGACAAGAAGGTAGTCTCATGGAATACTAGGTTGAAATCAAAACCTTTCCCCCGGAAATATTTGAAAATGTGATGCTTAGGTTCCAACATGCTGACAGTAAAATTACAGTTTAAATAGGTTTTGTGACCTAATGACTCACTTTTTCTCACTTTTGGGACTAAACATATTTTATGTTAGGAAATTCCTCAGCTGGAAGATTTAGTGAGAGGAAAAGTTAATGTTAGCCATTGAGGAGATTTTGCTTTTCAGTTACCTGCCTGGGTTGTATTTTTAAATGCATACATGTATAAATTTATATGTGTCCTTTCTGAGGTTTGAATATTTGACTTAAAAGTGTACCACATGCGTTCTCAAGGAATGAAAAGACACGGAGGAAACTTAAATGCATATTTCTAAGTGAAAGAAGCCAGTCTGAAAAGGCTACATACTGCACGATTCCAACTGTGACATTCTGGAAAAGGTAGAACTATGGAGACAGTAGGAAGATTAGCGGTTGCCAGGGGTTGGGAGGAGGGAGGAATGAATAGGCTGAACACATGATTTTGAGGGCAGTGAGACTACTGTGTATACTATAATGGTGAAGACGTGTCATTATACACTTGTCCAAACCCATAGAATGTTCAACACCAAGAGTGAAACCTAATGTAAAATAAGGACTTTGGGTGATAATGATGTTTCACTGTGGATTCATCAATTTTAACAAATGTACCACTATGGTGGGGGATGTTGGTAATGGGAGAGGCTGTGCATGTGTAGGGGCACTGGATATATGGGAAATCTCTCTACCTTCTGCTCAATATTGCTGTAAAACTAAAGCTGCTCTAAAAATAAATATCTTTTTAAAAAGTGTGTACTTAGCCATTGTGTAAGTACTTATACTGCACAGCTGCTTCCTCCTTTTTCAGAAGAGCAGAAGCATCTTGGGTCTATGTTGCCACCTGGTGGCCAATATTGGAAACTGTCAAATGCAAGATTTCTGCTTTCTTTTTCTTTTTTTCTCCTTTAATGAATTTTACTTTATTTTATTTTTTAAGATTTTTATTTTCAAATTAGAGTTAACATTCAATATTATTTTATATTAGTTTCATGTGTATAGCATAGTGGTTAGACATTTATATAATTTACGAAGTTATCTTCCTTATTAGTATAGTGCCCACTTGGCATCATACATAGTTATTACAGTATTACAGATTACATTTATTATGCTGTACTTCACATCCCCGTGACTATTTTATAACTATCAATTTGCACTTCCTAAAGCCTTCATCTTTTTCATCCGGCCTTCCAACCTCCTCCCATCTGGCACTCACCACTTTGTTCTCTGTATCTATGAGTCTGTATCCATTTTGTTAATTCGTTTATTTTGTTCTCTAGATTCCACATATAAGTGAAATCATATGATATTTGCCTGTCTCTCTCTGACTTATTTCACTTAGCATAATACCTCTAGGTCTATCCATGTTGTTGCAAATGTAAGAATTCTTCCTTTTTATCTATATCCTGGCTAGTTTAAGTAATGCTGCAGTGAACATAGAGGTGAATGTATCTTTCTGAATTAGTGTTTTGGATTTCTTTAGATAAATACCCAGAAGTGGAATTGTTGAGTCATAAGTTCTATTTTAAAATTTTCAGAAACTCCAAACTTTTTCATAATGGCTGTATCAATTTGCAATCCCATCAACAGAGTACTGGTGTTTCTTTTTCTTTACATCCTCGTCAACACTTGTTTTTTGATTTTTTAATGATAGCCAATCTGACAGACATGAGGTAATATCTCATTGTGCATTAATTTGCATTTCTCTGATGACTAGAGATGTTGAGCCTCTTTTTGTATGTGTATTGGCCACCTGGATGTCCTCTTTGGAGAAATGCCTATTCAGGTCATCTGTCCATTTTTTAATTCGATTATGGGGGCGTTTTTTGTTGTTGTTTTTCTGAGTTGTATGAGTTCTTTATAAATTTTGGGTATTAACCCCTTGTCAGATGTATCACTGGCAAATACTTTCATTCAGTAGGCTGTCTTTTCATTTTGTTGATGGTTTCCTTTGCTGTGTAAAAACTTTTTAGTTTGATGTAGTTTCATTTGTTTATTTTTTCTTTTGCTTTCCTTGCAAGAGAAGATTCATCAGAAAAATTATTACTAAGATCAATGTCAGAGAGTTTATTCCCTATGTTTTCTTCTAGGGATTTCATAGTTTCAGTTCTAACATTTAAAGCTTTAATCCATTTTGAGTTTATTCTTTTATATGGTGTAAGAAGGTGGCCCAGTTTAATTTTTTTCTTCCTTTTCAAAGTCATGATAAATTTGTAATATACCAGATTTTCTTCACATATTCATTACTCACAGCTTGGCAAATTCCACTACAGAATCAATCTCTCTCTGTCTCTGTCTCTGTCTCTGTCTCTGTCTCTGTCTCTGTCTCTCTCTCTCTCTCTCTCTCTCATCCCTCCCTCCCTCTCTCCTCTCTCTCTCTCTCCTTTCCCTGCCAACTGTTAATTGTTTCTGTTCTCTTACAAGGCAGTTTTGTCATTTTCACCCCTTCCTGTTTTTTTCTTAATTTGTGAACCCCTCACTCAAGTCATTGAGGGTCATGTGTTTCGAGGAGTTACTAGGCACACTGAAACCAATGTTACAAACTCTAAAACTTGTGGTGTTTGAAACCAATGTTACAAACTCTAAAACTTGTGGAGTTACTAGGCACACTGAAACCAATGTTACAAACTCTAAAACTTCAGAATTCCCATAAGTTTTAAAAGGGGGTTTCTCTTCACCTCACAATTAGATGTTTTCCTCAATTACCAGTATTTAAGGCAACATTTTAAAATCACTTAAAATATTACTTAATCCATATGTATTTCTAATATTTGTCAAAGGAAAATGACTAAGGTAAACCAAGAACTAACAAAAATCATTTCTTGTAGGGGATGGGATAGAAGAGACTTCTCTGATTATAATTTTTTTTTTTTAAGGGCAGGAAATTGAAGAGACTTCTCTGATTATAATGAAAAAAAAAAAACAAAACAGTTTTGTTGAAGTATAATTTATGTAAATAAAATTCACTCCTTTAAGTGTACAATTCAATGATTTTTAGTAAATTTACAAAGTTATGCAACCATCACTATGATCTAATTTTAGAACATTTCAGTCAACCCCCAAAGAAACTTTGTCCTCATTTGAAGTAATTCCCCATTCCCACCCCACCCCAAAGTTTCACAAAGTCCATCATAAGAAGCCCAGCTGTTTTACCTCTGACCTTAAGCAGGATGATCTATTGTATAACTTCAAAGGACAACATTCATTGTAACCCATGTAAATAGTGCCTTGTGGAGTTGTGCTACAGACTAGTGCTGCAGCATAATCTCTATTCAGGAAATAGAGATCATAATAATAGCCAATAGCAGAATATCATAATATACTTAGAATAGAAACACATTATAACAACATTTTCTACTGTTCAAAGCTGTTCATATTAACGAGCAACACTATTTTAGTAGCTGAAGATTATTAATCTCTATCATCTAGTTAAAAAAACAAGATTATTTGCAGTTTTTAAAACAGACTAGTTTTTAGAGCAGTTTCAGGTTCACAGCAAAACTGAGTGGAAAGTACAGAGATTTCCTACATACCACTTCCCACACTTATATATAGCCTTCCTCCATTATCAACATTCCCCGGTTTGCAGTTTTTAAGTTATTTTTATTTGGTATCTGATTCTGGCAAGAATAAGTTATGGGTTTATTCTTTCATTCATCTAACAAATACCTGCTAACTATTTACGATATGCCAGGCATTATTTTAGATGATAGAAATAAACAGTGAACAA